CAGTACCGTGGACATAACAGAGTATACTGTTTCGCCAATAACATCCCCCATGCGTTGCCATTCCTAAGGACTCAGTTGTTATTCCTCTGTACCCTGTAAATTCACGCCATATCCCACACTTCAAACCGAAACACAGCCATGTAAACACAACTACTTTACTGTTTAAACACGAATGGAACAGAGGTACCCAAGCAAATGACTTTTGTACAGTCTCTCTCTGGTAGAACTTCTGGATACCAATCCAATTTCTATATATTGGATTGGTATCCAAATTACAAAATATAGTATGGAGGCACATAACATATCAATATTTCTCAAAAATATCTTATTCAGTCAAGAGTAGGTCCACTTGGACCTACTCTATCCACACCAACCAAAGAATATAAATTACTTCGAAACATAATTATACGGAGTCAAGTTAAAAAATAAAATGCGCGAGATTTTATTATCCCATTCAGTTACTGGCCTGGCATGGTCGAGTAATGTTTCCCTTGGCCTTGCTACGTTAAAAAAACGATAAGTATTTATTACTATGGGTACTTTGACCTGATACATAAAACTCAGGAATTAATACTACAGATATAATGTATTTACACAAAATGTTATGTGCATGGTACTGCTCATGTGTATAGGCGACGGTTACCACTTTCCATCAGGTGGGCCGATAGGCTTGTTTGACATTTTAAGTTGTATAAATAAAAAAAAAAAAAAACACAAATTGTAGATAAAGCCATTATCGTATTGTTTAAACTTTGACAAGTAGGTTTTTTTAATTGATCCATAGTGTTTTGGCAATTATGCAAATAAAAATTGTTTTATTATTAGTTATTTTACATTTTTTTCGTAAATTTAACAAATTTACGATTGAAATCATAAAAAGAACACATTTTTTTTTGTTTTGTTCAATTTTTAACCACAGAATAACGTAAAAAGTTACATGTCACCATAGAGTATAATTTTTTTTTTATATTAATAGAATATTTATAGTCTTGGTATAACGTACTAATCTTTGTAGGAGTATTCACCAGGAATCAAGCGAGATAACTTCTGGGGGCATTCTTCATATTCATAGTATGGCATAAAGCCAATGACCGAGGAGGGGGATTGTTAGTAATGAGGATCTGACAACCCCATTACTAGCAATATACCCTTTCAGGTCGATCTCCACGTGGTTCCCTCTGTAAACCATCTTGGTTATTTCTTTTTTAATTCACCACGACGGGCCAACTAATCTGCTTTCATCCTCACCTATCATCTCTCATTGGTGCCCCGCCAGCGTCTACCAGTAGCGCAGACAGGGTTACCATTGCAATATTACCCGTTGAAAAAAAAATGCAGGACCGAGATCCGGCAACTAGATCCTACGAAAGTTCATCTTAACTAAAACTTTAAACCAGAGCGTTAGTCAAGTAATAAAATTGTAGTAATGTAAAAACCTACCGTTATTATGGGCAGGAGCCGTTCCCCGTACCGTTCTCGCAGCTGGCCGATATCCAAACCACAACCGTTATACCAGGAAAACATAATGAGTAGATTGTGTATTTATACATAATACAATTGTTAATATAGAAATCCTTAGTAACCTACTATCCTATTACTTCCAATTAATATTATAAAATCTGTGTTCGTATTTTGTGTATTTTGCAAAATATAGTCAAAGCATATTTTATATATATAATGTAACTTAATACATGATTCAACTAAATACAAGATTCAGATATATATATATATATATATATATATATATATATATATATATATATAATATTACACAACATTAATATATGTTAATTACATTGATGTATAAATAACCTAGATATATAATTAGAGATAAGTAATTAAAAAATAAAAAAAAAAATATTTAAAGATAAGAAATTTCATCGAGATCACTGCCACTGCCAGCTGGTAGGGTGCCTAGGATACTTGCTGCATTTCCACGCTGAATAGCAATGGAAATGCGTTGACCAAAGTATAGGCCAGCCTTCTGCTCACCAGAGGTTTCCACCAGCCGGCGTGAAATCTCTTTGAAAAGATTCATAGCCTCGGGGCCCCACGGACCCAGAGTTTCAACTCCAAACGCCACAAATATATATCCATTTCCAAGGGATGAACATTTACGGCGCTTGATAAACTCCTGGTGTATATATAATTAATTACTAAATTAAAATGCTACAATGCTAATAATTATAAAATTTTTTTTTTTTCTTTAAACAGATTAATTATTATTAGATATAATATACACGTAGATAGATAGATAGATAGATACTCTTTATTATTTCCTCCAAAAGATTACAATAGTAAACTTATTATAAATATAAACAATTACAAGAAATAATCACAGTGAGAGAACAATGGACGACCCTTACGTCATATAATTCGTTTACTTCTAACTAACTACTTTACTATAACACTGAACTAACAAGTTCAGTATGTATATTTTATCTTAATACCAAATTAGGGGAAATTAAGTACTATTGCAACATAAAAGCAACAATATAATCTACTAACCGGTTGGTGAAAACCTCTGGTGACCAGAAGGCTGGCTACTTTGGTCAATGCATTTCCATAGCTCTTCAGCGTGGTAATTCAGCAAGTATCCTAGGCACCCTACCGGCTGGCAGTGATCGCGAAGAAATTTTTTATCTTTAAACATATATATATATTTTTTTTTTATTATTTTTTTAATTTTTTAATTACTTATCTCTAATTATATATCTAGGTTATTTATACATCAATGTAATTAACGTGTATCTACTGAACTAAATACCTAGGTTTATGCAAATAAATGATTAACACATGATTGATGACTTGAAAAAACTGATAAATGTAGAGGAAGCGAGAGGTCTGTTGGAATCGAAACATCTGGCGTTCCATTCTGCCTACCCTAATGGGAGACAGGCGTGACAGATATGTACGTATATATGCAATATTTTTTTATTGTTTTAAGGGCTTTTACCTTCTTCAGGTATATCTTTTTTTTTTCATACAACTTAGAATGTTAAACAAGCTGACGGCCCACCTGATGGAAAGTGGTAACCGTCGCCTATAGACATGAGCAGTACCATGGACATAACAGAGTATACTGTTTCGCCCATGATACCCCCCATGCACTGCCATTCCTGAGGACTCAGGTGTTATTCCTCTGTACCCTGTAAATTCACGCCATATCCCACTCTTCAAACCGAAACACAATGGGATCATGGGATCTCATATTTTTTTGTAGTGAAAGAAGTATAGTGCGAGGCTTGGCATTGTTTTACACTTTTATGTTTTTGATGGGATAATAATTCCATGAAATATGGATACTTAGTCTTAAATGGCGACATGCTTATACAATTGTTATGATATAATACCATAAATACCATAACATGATACGCGCCAACTTTCTTCCACTTTTTGGAATCAACTTTCAGCAGCAGAATTACCGAACCGATACGACAACATAACCTTCAAGAAAAGAGCATATTCTTTTTTAAAAGGCCGGCAGCACACCTGCAATGCCGTTGATGTTGCGGGCGATCATAGGCGGCGGTAGTCACTCACCATCAGGTGAGCCGCATGCTCGTTTGTCTCCGTGTTGTAAAAAAAACGTTACAAGTACTAACAAACTTCGATTTTTCACGTAAAAATTTTTATGATTTTGTGGCGAAAAACCAAATATTAGATGCAGCTTGGAAACAAAATAAATATAGATTTAAAAATTAATTAATGATTTTTATTATTATTAATGCAGTTTTTATCTACAGCCGACAACCAATTTTAATCAGATGGCCTGTCGGTTTGTTTGCAGAAAACTGTAAACAAATCTAATAATAAAAAAAAATATATTGAAAATTAATTCTTAATATACATGTAATAAAAATTATATAAAAAAAACCTTTAAGCATTGAAATAAATATATAAAATATTAAAAAAAGAAAAAACAGATAAATTATGTCTAAATCGAAACAAAATTTGTCCTTCAACATTTCATCAGAACTCCTTCAAAATGGGACAAAAAGATTTCATTAACACACAATAGAATTTTACATAAATCATCAGTTTTTACTTGTAGCTAATTAAATAAAAATGTTGCATTGAATTTCATGAGACTCATTCCAAATGAGTGAAACAAAAATGTCTTTTTAAAAAAAGAATTGCGTATAAATTTATACAATATGTTCTTTTGATCAATAAAGTTATTTAAATAGATAAATCTTACAAATTGAAATCTGTTTTTATTCTACACTAGCTATTACCTTACTGACTGGGTTAAAAAATTGCTTATATTCTTCTCCATCCCATATAAATACGTGTATACCAAACTTCATGGTTATTGGTTAAAACGCTATAACGTAACAAACACTTTTTAAAGTTCACTTTAAATTTTCTAATCATTAAAGCGTTGATTAGAATAGAAAAGAAACTCAAGAAACTGACGCGTGCTGATTATCAATTGAAAATCTATTAGATGCTTGTATTCCAGTAGGCGTTCTTGATATTCCAAAATCTCTAATTAACACAAAAATATTCCTTTAAAATAGTAATAAAAGAAATATATACGACATTTTTTTATATAGTTTTATCTTTTATATATTTATATAACATTTTAAGTATTTTCTTTATTTTATGTATTTGCTTTTCATGAATCACTCAAGCTGTGCACATAATGTGATTGGATTATAACCTAGCCGAATCACAAATGTAACTATTATTTAAGTTTTTTATGGTTGTGATCCGTTTTATGTGCCAATAAAATAAAATAAAAATAAATAAAAAAACAACAAGGCTTTTCAATGCGATTTTCAATGTAAACACAGAACGCGCATGACAAGTATTATCTAATACAACATAATAATAATAAACTTATTATTTCATTTGCGCATTAAATTCGCATAGTTTCCTGACCAACAACAATAAACGCATGGGAACTATTTTCAAGTTCGTGAATAAATAATAAAAAATTGTCTACAATAATCTCACGCCCCACCATTTTCGAGACGGAGGCTGCGCTACCGTGAACATCAGTCTTGTATCGCTTGGCGGGAAAAACATACCCGCTCCTTGTCTATGCCTGGAATTATAAAGAGTGCATTGTAAATTGAAGTAACTCGTTCAGTTGTCGATTTACTTTATATATAGTGTATAATCTGTGATTTTAAGACGTCAACATGCATCGGTTAGTAGATTTTCATATTTTTTTACAAACTTTTTAAAAGCCGGCTCGAGTTCAATGACAGCCGATTTCTTTATGGTGTTCTTGAATTTTTTTGTCTAGAAAGAGAAATCTCTCATTTCGATCATTTACATCCTTACAACATAACTACGAGTAATTAAGCTAAACATCTCTGTTTAATCAGTAATTAATGCGTAAAGACTTGTTAACAAAATTCACATTACTTCGCACGGCGGGAGATGCTATCCCTAATCTATGCTTATCTCTAATCAATTTAAATTTAATCATAAATCCATATAAAAAAAAATCTATTTCCGTTTCTTTCGTAATTCCATAACCTAAATATTTTGTTTTTTTTTTTGTAATAATTTGTTAGCAAATATCAAATTAGACATTGATTAGTTATAAAGTTGTTTGTAATTACCTATAACTAAATAAAAACTTCTAAAATAAATAGATATTCGTATTTTATTGTTTACAGTCTATATTTCTTAATATAGGGAGATAATTTTCAGTTAATTTTAGGACTCGTGATTTTTAATTTAATAATTATTTGGTATATTTTACTTAATTTGCTCCAAGTTTAAAGTATTACTTCACTTCTCTACAAGAGAAACCCAGCAGTAGGACGTTAATTGTTAATGTAAAATCATAATATTTAATCGTTTTTTAAATACTAGTTATACCTTTTTTTATGAAACTGAATACTGACAGCCTATAGACATGAACAGCATCCTGTAATACCCATCATTACAAAATATACTGTGACGCCCATGTCATCCTTCATGCGTTACCAATTTTGAAGGATATGATATTATGCCTCTGTACATTGTATTATGTATTTTACTGCCATATCCCACCTATCAAACGTCGGAAGGAAAAGGGATTGGTGACTGGCTCACTGGTGCCTCGCCAACGTATACTGATAGCGCCTGCAATTTTTTTAATGTAATTTAGAACGGCAACCAACCCGACGATCCACCTGATAAAAATTGGTAACCATCCCCTATATATATGACATGGTTACCATTTCATTTTCATACAATAAAACAAAACCCCTTTAAATATGTATTTTTTTAAATGGATGATAATGAAATGGTATCCCCGCCTGCGCTAACGGTATACGCTGGCGTGGCACCAGTGAGAGATGATAGGTGAGAATGAAAAGGCAGGTCAGTTAGCTTATCTTGATGAATTCACTTGGAATAGAACACGATAGTTTCCAGGGGCAACCGCGAGGAGGTCGACCTGACAGGGTATATTGCTAGTAATGGGGCTATTAATCCCCATTTTTAACAATCCATTATCCTCCCCTCTAAGTTTGTATTTCTTTAATATATTTCGGCATATAATTTGCTTGTAATAAGAATTTTTTATTAATATTTTTATTATTGCCATGTGGTCCCGGCATAGAATGGGCCACCCCTTCCTTTCCCGTGGGTGTCGTAAGAGGCGGCTAAGGAAACTTAATGTTCGAATGATGAGCAATAACTCTCTAAACATCACCATAGCCTAATTGCGGTTGCCAGGGGGGAAAGGGATTGTTAGCAATGGAGTTCGACATTGCTAGCGATATTTTTTATTGATACCGATAGCGCGGGTGGGATTACCATTCCATTATCACCCATTAAAAAAAATTGCGGTTGCCAATCCGCCTAAGCATAGTAGCTACTGCCAAAAAACCATGTATGGGGTAGGCTTACATTCAGCAGTAGACAGACCAGAGGGAGACTGTACAAATGTCGATTGCTTGGGTACCTCTGTCCCATTCGTGTTTCAACCGTGAAGCAGTTGTGTTTGCATGGCTGTGTTTCGGTTTGAAGGGTGGGATATGGCGTGAATTTACTGGGTACAGAGGAATAACACCTGAGTCCTCAGGAATGGGGGGTGTCGTGGGCGAAACAGTATACTCTGTTATGTCCATGGTACTGCTCTTGTCTATAGGCGACGGTATAAAAAAAAATTAAAAGCTCATATGATGGTAATATTTTTTTTACTCTATAAATACTATAACCGATTCCATGGTCTTATATTTCACACGCTGTCTGTCAGAAATTTAATTAAAAATAAATCTACTTGGTCGCGACACTCACACAAGTCACCCATTCGACTTATTATAAAGATTCTATTATTACTTGAAATAAAATTATCTGACTATCCATTATGTGTAAATCTATGTAATAAATCACAAACACGTTGTACACCGTCTACGTAACAATAATACATTTGTCCGTCTGTCTGTTTAGCCAAACACTTAATTACAAAATGTTGGAAGCATTCCTTTACTAATTACCGCCCGTCGCCATTGTCTATGGACAATGTTTATTTTTTTTATATTCGGTTGCGTTCCGATTCTAGTTGCGTGTTGATACGAGTAGTGATCAACAGAGAAAAAAAATAGGTTTTAAACGTTGAACAATCGTCGTGATTGCTCAGAACAATATTTGGATTGCTGCGAAATATGTCAACATGTAGGAAATTAGTTTTTCTCGCCTACAAGGATGACTTTTACTATAGAGCAGCGATTCCTAAACTTTATCAATCTTGGTGCCCTTTTTTTTTAATGGATGAAAATAGCATGACAGCCGCGCCTGTACTATCGGTATAGGTACACTAGCGGAGCACCAGTGAGAAGTAATAGGTGAGGATGAAAAGGCAGGTCAGTTAACCACTCATGACGAATTCTACGATAAATTAATCACGATGGTGTCCAGGAGGAACCGCGTAGAGAGCGACCTGATAACAATGGGGACTAACCTCCCCATTACTAACAATCCCTTCCCCCCCTATTGATGCCATTATGCTATGCTTAATGTGACCATTTATTTATTTTTTACTTAAAACCGGACATCAGACATGGGTTTATTTATCGCAATTAGTAGGGCCGATTTATAAAGGAAACTCAATTTTGAGACTACCACGTTAGGGCAGTGGCCTCTATAAAATTAATTTACAGGGTGGACTTGGCCCCTTAAAAAAGGCTATATATACTCTCAGACATGTTCTCGTAAAAGTTAACTCTATTCCTGGATTTTTTTTTAATGGATGACAATGGAATGGTAAGCCCACCAGCACTATCGGTATACGATGGCGAGGCCTCAGTGAACATAAGATAAAAATGAAATCAGCTCAACTGGCCTATCATGACGAATTTATTAAGATCACAGTGGTTTCCAGAGAAACCACAGTGGAGACCGACCTTATAATGTACATGGCTAGCATTGGGTCTGTTGTTACATTTGGGGGTTGCCACCAGATTATTCTAGAATGAGTAAGTTTTATAATATTGGAACTCTTTTTACAAACTAAGTATTTATTTATTTAGGAGCACCAACATTAGTTGCAATGATATTTTGGTTAGGCTATTACATTGCAGTACAATAGATACGTTAGCCCTTAAAAATTAAAAAAAAAATTGCACTAATAATTATTGGTAAACAATACATGCATAAAAGAAAAAAATATACATTAAAAAAAAACATAATTTGTTTTTGTGTGAAGGACTTACACAAAAACACATGATGTCCAATTAACATCTACCTGTGTAACCATGTTTAAGGTGGTCACATTAGTGTCAATGAGTGATCACAGAGTAATTAATAAATTAATTTAGTGATAAACACCGCCATTGTTGTGTTGATGGACGGATTGGTGTGGAATTTATTAATTAGTTTCCTACTCAAAGCGTGATATTACGTGATTGAAAAATGCAACAAGTGGGACTCGAAAATGCATGCCGAGCGTTCCGCATATTAACGTCAAAATAGATACTTAGGTACTCTTTCTTTATTGTTCCATAGATTAAATTTTAATAGGTGTATAGCAGAATGTCAAGTGCTTTTTGCTCAAAAAAATTACTTCAAATGTGACGGGATTAAAGATTGTGCCCCACAAAGAAAGAAAGAAAGAAAGAAAGAAAACATTTATTGACAACAACAAAAAGTTACATAGTTTACAAAAAAAGCAGGCTTTAATTGTGACAAAACCAGTTAAGTTATGATAAAATTTTCACGAGACCAATCTATATTTTTTTAAATAAAAAAAAATTCAATTTAGTTTAGAACTGAAGGTATTATGAGGTACAAATATATATAGAAAAAAAAATACAACCGAATTGAAAGACTCCTTCTTTTTGAAGTCAATCGAAAACGCATGGTTCGTAGAAAAATATATTATTTACATGCTAACAATGGATGGCCCTATTGCTACCAATAGTCCCAGTAGAGGGAAAAGAAATTGTTAGTAATGGAGACTGAGAATCCCATTGCTAGCAATATACCCAACCAGGTCGACCTCCTCGCGGTTCCCCCTGGAAACTATCATGGTTAATTCCTGATGAATATATCATGATGGGCTAACTGGCCTGTTTTCATTCTCATCTCTCACCCTTCACTGGTGCTCCGCCAGCGTATCCCGTTAGCGCAGGCGGGGTTACCACTCCATTTTCATCCAATAAAAAAAAATAGTCCCAGTTACGTTTCCCTACCCTCGAAGTACCGAAAGGAAAAGTATTGTTAGTAATCGGTTCCAACAAGCCCATTCATAACTATATAGGGTATATCACTACATAGTATTAAACAAAGTCGTTGTCGCTGTCTGTCCGTCCCTATGTATGCTTAAATCTTTAAAACTACACAACGGATTTTGAAGCGGTTTTTTTTTTAAATAGATAGAGTGATTCAAGAGGAAGGTTTATATGTAGAATACATGCATAATATTGTAGAGGAACACTGATAAATTTAGAGGTTTCTAATGTGATGTCGTAAATAAACACATTTTTTGCACTTACATTGCAAACGCTGGCTGAACCTCACGAGATAAATTAAAATAATGTAGTACAGTATTGTACACCTTAAAAAGGTCAACAAAAAAGTCTGCGATGGTATATGTCTATCACTTAAGGATAACCTACAATAACCATTTTTTATCCTTTACATTTTACGGGAAAAAAATAGCTTATTTACGAAGTGATTTTAAGCAATACAGCATGGATTTTTATCCAA